TCTAACTTGAGTTCATTGCAATCATGCTTTCACCCCTATGACTCCATGAAAATTGTTGTCATCAAGTTTTACAACAACCTCCACATGGATAAATCTACTTTCAAGTCTAAGCTCTCATCTGACTTAGCAGAATTTGATCACTGATCATATCATTCTCCTTTTTTCCCTTGACTTCCAGAACACCATATGCTTTGTGTTTCCCTCCACTTCCTTTGAGAATTTCAATCTCTTTTGTAGGCTTTCCTCTCTTTCTTCACACCAATTTTGCTATTAGTCCATGGTTTTTTTCTGTAACTATTGCACTCACCTTACTACATGGATTTAAATATCATCTGTAAGCTGACGATCTATAAGCTGACAATCCCCAAATTTCTATCTCCAGACCTGAACTCCAGACTTACAACTTCAACTACTTACTCAACATATGCACTTGAATGCCGATAACTTACCTCAAAGTCAACATGACCAATTTCTGATCATCCCCTCAAACCTGCTTCTCCTGCAGCCTTTCTCATATCCATACTGATAGGAATTCCATACACCTAGTATTTCTTGAATTACTCTCTTTATCTTACACCTCATATCCAATCTGTCAGGAAATGGTATAGACATTTCATTCAAAATATTTCCAAAAATATGACCTTCTTAACCTCACTTCTTGTTTTTTTTTAAGATTATTTATTTATTTAAAAGGCAGAGTTAGAGAGAGAGAGAGAGAGAGCTGTCTTCCATCCACTAGTTCACTCCCCAAATGGCCACAACAGCCAGAGCTGAGCCGATCTGAGGCCAGGAGACTGGAGCTTCTTCAGGGTCTCCCACGCGAGTGCAGGGGCCCTGGGACTTGGGTCATTTTCCATTGCTTTCCTAGGCTATAGCAGAGAGCTGGATCGAAAGTGGAGCAGCCAGGACTCAAACCGGTGCTCATATGGGATCCCAGCACTGCAGGTGGCAGTTTTACCTGCTACACCACAGCGCCAGGTCCCTTAACTTCACTTCTTACCTGCTACTACTCTGGTTTGAGCCACCCACATTGATACAATAGGCTCATCACTGACATCCTGCTTCTTTGGCTATTCTAGAGTCTATTCAATACAACAACCCCAGTAATCAAGTGATTCTATTAAAACAAAAGCCAAGTCCCTCATATCCTCAGCTCACCTATCTACACTGACCCCATCTCACAAAAGCCCAAGTCTTCATTAAGGTCTTCGGGGCCCTTGATGTCACCTTACCCAATACCTCTGCAATTGCCTCATCAAATACTCTTCCCCTTGCTCTAAATCAGCCACACAGGCCATTCAGGCTGTTCAGCAAACTTATCAGACATGCACCCATTTGGGGAGTTTTACTCCAGCCATCTCTTCTGCTGGCCTGCACCTCCCTTAGATATAAGCTCTAACTCCTTTACATCTTTCAAATCATTCCTACTTAATGAAGTTTATCCTGGTTATTCAGCAGTACAACATGTGCTTCCCCTCAATTCCACTCTAAACCCTTCTCTTTCTGTTCTATTTCTTCTTTCTTCCAGAGTACTTTAGACATTCTAATGTATTATATAATTTACTTACTATTCTTACTGTTTCTTCTCTGCCTTACACCCATCTAGAATGTAACCTCCTTGAGGTCAGGACTTTTCATTTTTTCCCATAATGTATCCCAATCACCTAGAACAGTGTGCCCAGAATATGGTAGGTGATTTATTCATATTCACAGAATCAATTACCTAATTTTCCCTAATTCTTCCAAAAATTCACTGCCACTGCTATTCCCCTCAAGATGTTACCTTCCAGTATTCCCAACCTGCAGCTTCCATTCTCTCCACTGCACTTAACCCACACTATGTTCCAAAAAGAAATGGAAAGAATGCTCTTTTCTCCATAGGACTCAGGCCTAGTTTATGGTGTCAGAGGAAGAGCTATTGCTGCACATCAATCCCTTACCAATAGTCTGCCTTCAGGGACCACAAAGGAAACTGAAGTTCTACCAGGACCCAGACCCAATGTAATGAACCTATACATTTGAATCTTAGTTTTGGCTCAGAAACAAATTTCTGCTATAAAATGATGTGATTGAATTAGGTGAAGTCTTGTCCTTTCTAGTTCAAAATGTTACCACATTTCAACATAGTTTCAATTGTTAAGGTCATTTCCCAATGTACCAATTATTTGTAATGCTTATTTCAAGTATGACACTTTACTTTTTAAAAATTGTAAGTCAGATCACCTAAAAACTATTCTGTGAACTGTTTTATTATGAACATGCATCCCGTGACTTTTGATACCCAGTGACTTCATATTCTGATTGATTATTCATTAAGTGATTTTTTTGTCTCTCAAATGAATCAACTGGTTATTTGAACTGTGTAAATAAACTAGTTTGTAGCAGAGCATTGTGGAAGGGCATTTCTCTAGCTACAACAAGACATTGTGGCATTTATAAAAATAAAATAAACTACCCCATGACATTAAAGTAAATTTTACCTGAAGAACTTTGGCTAATTAGATAATTTTCAAGAATATAACTATGTGATACATTTTTACAATAAAATCAGTACCTAAGCGTACATAAAATTATGTAATCTGCTTTATAAAACTCTGTTCAGGAACATTTTTCCATGTCATTATACATTTCATTATTCTTAAGGGCTGAATAAGGAGAATTCTGGCAAATGAGCAGATTGAGCTGATGTGGATCCAACCTCATCCTTAAACGATCTAGGAATTCTGAACAAAATATAATACCCAGAGTCAGGCATTTGGTGCAGCGGTTAAGATGCTACAAGTGCTTAGCATCAAGTCCCAGCTCTGCTCCTGATTCTGGCTTCCTACTAATATGCATTCTGAAAGCAACAAGTGATGGTTCAAATGGATAGTTACTTGATGCACATGTAGTAGAACTGGATTCAGTTACTAGCTACTGAACTTCTGGGGAGTGAACCAGAATATGGGAGATTATATATATATATATATATATATATGTTTATATATAAAGATATATATGAAGATTTTATATATATATATATATATATATATAATCTTTAATACATAGCCTAGCTTGAAAGAAAAGTAAATTTCCAGAGATCATAAGGGAAGAATGAAATAAGACCCAGAACCAGGGTGACTATCCAAGCTTTACCATGAGAAATTCCACATCCATAAAAGGTTTTTGATATTTATCAACTGCTTTCTTCTGCACTTTTTCTGAAAACTGTGTAATTTTTCCCAGTTTTTCCTTTGATATGATTATATTCAAATATGTTTCAAGACTGGAACATCCTTATGGAATATCGTGGAGTGGCTGGTGTCATGGTGCAGCAGGTAAAGCTGCCACATATGACACTGCATCTCATATAAGCACTAGTTTGAGCCACAGCATCTCCACTTCCAATCCAGCTCCCTGCTAATGAGCATGGGAAAGCAACAGAAGATAGCTCAAGTACCTGGGCCCCTGCTACTCATGTAGAAGACCCAAATGGACTTCAGGCTCCTGGCTTTGGATTAGCCCAGCCCTGGCTATTGTGCCCTTTTCAGGAATGAACCAGCATATGGAAGATCTCTTTCTCTGTGTGTCAGTATGCCTTTCAAATAAATAATTCTTAGGAAAACATATTGTTGAATTATAGCTATATGATACATAGATAGATAGGTACTTATAGGATTTTTGCATCAATGTCCTTAAGTTAAATTTGTCTCTAACACTCTTTTCTTGTATTATTTTTAGCTGGTTATGACATCTACAGTGTGTTAGTTTCATAGATACGATGAGCAGTGTTTTCTGTTATTCTAATTTCTAGAATAATTTTTGTAGGATTGGGATTTCTTTTTCTAAAAGTTCAGTAAAATTCACCCAAACTATTAGAGTCGGGCCCCAGGAGAAATGAAGAGTGCAACGAGAAGCCTTTACCCTAAGCTCTCTGCCACCTGTAAAAACTGTCTCCTACATTTCCCTCCATATACTGGCCCTGCCCAAAGGTCTTTGATAAACTTTTAGTTTTTAAGTGTACGTCCCATTAACTTCCCTGTCATTCTTTTGGCATCGATAGTTGTGAAGGTAGTGGAGGGAGCTACATATGATAACCTGTCTGCCATACGTGACAACTTATGTTCAATGCAACCTTGGTTTTCTGATTTAAAGGAACTTTGAAAAAGGAAACTGAGGCCTTTTAAAACTTTAATTACTTTCCATTGCTCTTATGAAACATTGAGAATTACCTTTTGCCTTCCCAATGTCATCTTTTTTCGTTACTTGCTCGAAATTCCTTACAACTTTGGGAAACTCTTCCATGCTCTACCCATCAGAGGGAATATTAAGCACCTCTCCTGTGAAATCTGTTTATAAGTGTAAGACACTGTTTACAAATGTCTACCTCATTAGTTTGCAAGTTTCTTTGGAGCAAGGGCTGTGGTTGTTCGTTTCTATGCTTTTCCCTGCATTTAACAGTGTCTAACATACAATAAGCACTTGTTAAATTGTATGAAACCAGAACCATAGAATTTATTATCCAGAAGAATCTTATAACACCAAATGTGTACTATCTCAGTTATTTTCTGAGAACTTTACTGGTGGAGAATATAGGCAAGGTTATTTTTCTTCACTTATCATTTGGGTCAACATCACACAAGTAGAAGTGACTTAAGTAGAAGGATTTAGGAATTATGACTACCAAATAATACCTATTAGAATTCTACTTCTCATACTTACCCTCAGCTATCAAGCCATAACGTCAATGTATTTGGAATATTATAATCCTCAATTTTAGAATTTAAGTTTACAGATTCACATTGATAAGGTCATTTCTACCCACATATTCAACCTTAGTTTATTCTGCCAGTAAATGAATAGTGGCTCTGTGGTTCTGTCCTCATGGTGCACACAGTCAGTTTTGATGGTGCATTAAATTATTAAGATGCATGTATAATGAATTTCAATTAGGCAACAAATACATATACAAAATGTAGAATTCATGACAGTAAAGATGCTGTTCTTTTTAGTTTACTCACCTCTGTATCCCCAATTCCTAGAACAATGCCTGACAAAAAAAGTTATGCAGCATTAGAACATAGACAAGATACATTTACAAAATGCCATTATGGACACAATGTTCTTTACTACATTAAAAAGAATCCCTTATTGTGTGATTCATTAATTTTACAAAGATAGTAATATGATGTTAATAGGGGAAACGGGTGTGAAGTATATGGAAGCTCTTTGTAATACTACTTCAATTATTGTTTTGTAAATTTAAAACTACTCTAAAATAAAATGAAAATAACAGAGAATCCCTTAGTTAACAAAGCTTCATTGGAGGCTGACATTGTAGCATAGCAGGTAAAGCCACCACCTGTGATGCCAGCATCCCATATGGATGCCAGTTCAAGCCCCGGTTGCTCCACTTCTAATCCAGCTCCCTGCTAATGTACCTGAGAAAGCAGCAGAAGATGGCCCACATGCTTGGCCCCTGTACCCACATGGGAGATAGGGAGGAAGATCTTGGCTCCCAGTTTTGGCATGGCCTAGGCCCTGAGATTGCAGCCTTTTGGGGGAGTGAACCAACAGATGGAAGACACCTCTCTCTCTCTCTCTCTCTCTCTCTCTCTCTCTCTCCCTTTCTCTTTCTCTCTCTTTGTTTCTCTCTCTCTCTAACTCTGCCTTCCAAATAAATAAATATTTAAAACCAATAAAGCTTCATTGTCAATCATGCTGACATCCAAGAGAGATACTGTCCTCATTTTCCAACTTACTGAAGTTTACATCTTTCCAGATTCTTTACTAGACTCTGGTGGTCCAAGGAATATAGTGAAAGATCTTTGGCTTTCACCAATTGGTGATACTTGGTTCAGAGTCATAAAGTCTGGAGTTAGTAAGAATGTTTGTGATCTCTGGTTGTAAAATAGTCACCCTAATCAGGTTAAATTTAGGCTCTGCTTCGGAAATACTTCTCATTTAGCTAGTTGTCTTTTCATTTAGAATATATATGGTAATGGCTGCGAGAAATGAGTCAGACTATTAATGTGTCCATATTACTAATATGCTTATGATTTGCCCATCTATCTTTTGCAGGGCTTGATCATCCATGTCAGATATGGTTTGGTAGTGCATTACACACTGATATTGAGGATAGCACTTTGAATAACTATTTCCTTCCCACTCTTTTGAGGGTCTCTTTGGCTTTTAATCTGAATAAATATCAACCCTCAATTTCTTTAACTTTTCATCTCTGATCCAGCATTTATTCCACATCACTAATTGTTCAGCTAGCACCCTAAGCTCACATTCTTTGCCCACTTAGAGATAATCATTTTTCTCATGCCCTACAACCTAGATTTTAATTTTTTTAGAGAACAGATGCAAATATCCTCTGTATTGTTTTCAAAGCACTGCTTCAGACTAGCCTTATCTTCATAGATTACAGGTGATTTCACTGAAATTTCAATCTTATATTCTAAAGTACATGCTTCCTTATGCAGTTGTTTTATTACTTATTTTTACCCAAAGAACTTTTTTACTGTTGTTCTTTTTCATTTGGTTTCTCCTGAATGCAGCTTTTAAAACTTAGAGCGCCAGGCATTGTGGCGCAGCAGGTTAAACTGCCACTTACGATATCCACATCCCATATCAGAGAACCAGTTCAAGTCCCAGCACCTGTTTCTGATCTAGTGTCCTGCTAATGCACCCTGGGTTGGCCCCTACTATCCACATAGGAGACCCAGATGGAGTTCTTGTCTTTGCCCTGGCCCAGTCTCTTGGCTGCTGTGGGCATTTGGGAGTGAACCAGCAGATGGAAATATTCTCTCTCTCTCTCTCTCTCTCTCTCTCTCTCTAGCATATGGAAATATTCTATTTTCTCTCTCTATCAAACACACACACACACACACACACACGGAGGCAAAAATAAACAAGTAAAAAATTTAGATCAGCAGGATCATATTCTTGAAGAGTAGCTTTAAAAGCAACTACTTGTCTACTGAATTCTGCTGATTATTTGATATAAGTAACTTTTGTATTATTTCTTTATTTTTTTATTTTTTTTTTATTTTTTGACAGGAAAGTTAGAGAGAGAGAGAAAGACAGGGAGAAAGGTCTTCCTTTCCATTGGTTAACCCCCCAAAATGGCCACTACGGCCAGCATGCTGTGCTGATCCGAAGCCAGGAGCCAGGTTCCCCCCACCCCGGTCTCCCATGTGGGTGCAAGGCCCAAGCACTTGGGCCATCCTCCACTGCACTCCCGGGCCACAGCAGAGAGCTGGACTGGAAAAGGAGCAACCAGGACAGAATCCGGTGCCCCGACCGGGACTAGAACCAGGGTGCCGGCGCCGCAGGCGGAGGATTAGCCTAGTGAGCCGTGGCGCTGGCCATAAGTAACTTTTTTTCTAAGATTTCATTTTGACTTGGAAGTAACCACTCATCATAGCAAAAAGAAATCCACAAATCATCATTCTTTCTAATTCAATCATCCAATAGATATTTTATTCATTGATCACCTACTACATGCCAGACACCATCCTAGGCACTTGGGATTGTGATAGTTAATTATGTGTCAATTTGACTGGATATGCCCAAATATTTGAACAAACAGTATTCTGGATGTGTTTGTGATATTTATCATCATCATCATCATCATTATCATTTGAAAGATAGAATGACAGAAAGTGAGATCTTCCATCCATTGTTTCACTCCCCAAATGGCCTCAATAGCCGTGGCTGGGCCAGGCAGAAACTAGGAGCCAAGAATTCCACTGGGGTTTCCCCTCGGGTAGCAAGAATTCAAGTACTTGGGCCATTGTTCTCTGCTTCCTAGGCACTGGATTGAAAAAGGAGCAGCTGAGACTCTCTGATATGGGATGCTAGTATCCCAAGTGGTGGCTTAATCTGCTGTGCCACAATGCCTGAACCTGTGATGGTGCTTTGAGGTGAAATTAACATTTTTTAATCAAATGACAACTTTATTTTGATGCACAAAAGTTTGACATCATGCATATGAGGAGGTATTCAAAAACTTCTTGGAAAATGCATATTATGGAAAAAGTAAATTGCTAGATTAAGTAAGGCAGATTGTCCTCCCTCTGTGTGTCAGCCTCATCCAATCAGTCAAAGGCCTCAGTAGAACAAAAAGGGGTAATCCTCTCCTGAGTGAGCAAGAATTCCTCCTGCTTGAATACTGGGACACTCATTCTTTTTGAGTCTCAAATCTGTCAGCCTCCAGATGAGAACTATATCACTGGTTCTCAGACCTTTGAACTTGGGCTAGAACTAAACTATCAGCTCTCCTGGGTTTTCAGCTTGCTAATACACCCCTCAGATCTTAGAACTTATCTACCTCCATGATCACATGAGCCAATTTCTTATAATAAATCTCTACATAAACACACACACACACACACACACACACAATCCACAGTCTCTTTCTTGGGAGATCTCTAATTACAGAGCTACATTACTGAACAAGATATACAAATATACCTGCTCTAATAGGACATACATTCTGACGGGGGGGGGGGCACATAATAAACAGTAACCATAAAAATAATTTAATCCTAGTAGGTCCACGGGTGAAAAATGTTATGAACAAAAAGGAACAATGTAGAGTGGAAACCAGGAGGGTAGGCTTCAGATTTTAAAAACTACTTCAGGGGCCAGTTTTTTGTAGCACAGTGGGTAAAAGCCCCAGCTTGCAGTGTCAGCATTCCATATGGGCGCCAGTTCAAGTCCTAGCTGCTCCACTTCCGATCCATCTCTCTGCTTGTGGCCTGGGAAGTCAGTGGGTGGTCCAAGTCCTTGGGCACCTGCACCCATGTAGGAGACCCAGAAGAAGCTCCGGGCTTTGGATCAGCTCAGCTCTGGCCATTGCGGTCATTTGGGGAGTGAACCAGTGGATAGAAGCCTTCTCTCTCTCTCTCTCTCTCTGGCTGTACCTCTCTTTTTTTAAAAAAGATTTTATTTATTTTATTTGAGAGGTAGAGTTACAGACAGTGAGAGGGAGAAACAGAGAGAGAGGTCTTCCCTCCATTGGTTCACTCCCCAGATGGCCACAACAGCTGGAGCTGCGCCGATCCGAAGCCAGGAGCCAGGTGCCTCCTCCTGGTCTCCCACGTGGGTGCAGGGGCCCAAGCACTTGAGCCATCCTCCACTGCTTTCTCAGGCCATAGCAGAGAGCAGGATTGGAAGAGGGGCATCCAGGACTAGAACTGGCGCCCATATGGGATGCCAGCACTGCAAGCAGAGGATTAACCTACTGTGCCATGGCGCCAGCCTCCTCTACCTCTCTCTTAACTCTTTCAGATAAATAAATCTCTTTTTTGACAGGCAGAGTTAGACATTGAGAGAGAGAGAAAGAGAGAGAGAGAGAGAGAGAGAGAGAGAGAGAGAGAGAGAGAGAAAGGTCTTCCTTCCATTGGTTCACCCCCCAAATGGCTGCTACGGCTGGAGCTATGCCGATCTGAAGCCAGGAGCCAGGTACTTATCCTGTCTCCCAGGCGGGTGCAGGGCCCAAGCACTTGGGCCATCTTCCACTGCACTCCTGGGCCACAGCAGAGAGCTGGACTGGAAAAGGAGCAACCAGGACAGAATCCAGCGCCCCAACTGGGATTAGAACCCGGGGTGCCGGTGCCACAGGCAGAGGATTAGCCTAGTAAGCCACAGTGCCGGCCTCAAATAAATAAATCTTAAAAAAAAAAAAAAAAAAACTACTTCACCAATAGGACTTTCATAAATTCTGGCCAACTGAATTCTTATTTTTCTTCTACTTTTAAACCATTAATCATAAGCTTTGCTTGTTATTTTCATCCTATGGACTCATACGTACACAATCATAAAGACTGTGTCTTTTTCTAGTGAAATAGTTCTTGAAGATAAGTTACCTTTAAATCAAGGTTCAGACCCATTTTGCATATTTTGAACATTTGATCATGATTTTTCTTATGGTCACCAGGGACTGATTAATGTTCCTGGTTTCATGCAGTGTATTCCCTTCTAGTTTTGCCTTATTATTTCTTTTGTTCACAAGATTTATATTGTAGTTGCCTGGGCCAA